CACGTCATAAATGACCGTTGACTGTATCCATTGAGTCTTAATAATCGAAATATTAATATTTTTTTAACTACCTCTACCATGAATTATTGATTTCGATTTGCTCCTCCAGAATCTGACATTGCTTCCATCGTAAAGCTTATATTCCCGCATTTGCGGGAATAAAGACTTCTTGTCCCGCATTTGGGGGAATAGAGACTTTTCGTCTCTTTTATGATGTGTAAGGGGAAAAAATGCTATTTTTGTCACACTTTTGAGGGAGAAAAGTGGCTTTTTAAGTTCATCTGTGAATAAAAACTTGTCCATCCCTGTCTCAGACATTTCATTCTTCATAACAAAAGTCTGTGTTAAATTAAAAAATATGAAAAGAGAATGGGTGGGCATAGGGGTAAAACGGAGAATAGTTGTGATGTGAAGCTAGAGGATGAAAAGGAAACATAGAAAATATCGTAAATAAATAACAAAATTACTATTTATTAGTGTCAATATAGTAGTGAACAAATATAAAAATACTAACAATAAGTGTATTTACTGTTACAGTGTTTCACGTTTTGTTACAACGTTTTTATAAGCATCTATCAAATTCGTTAGGTCGCTGTTACTGAGGGAGTTTAACATTTCTCGAATACAAGGTAAATCATAATTTCTACTGAAGTAACGGCGGAAAAATATAACGCCCTCGTCAAGTAACTCCTTTCGTACCATAGATCTTTTGAAACGACGTTTTATTATGTCTCCGTACGTAGGAAATTCTCTTTCATAATTGCCCTGTTGTAAAACCTGAACAATATCTTCATTCCTCGCGTATAATGCTACTTGGTCTATGCGTTTTGTTAGGATATCATGGAAACTTAGAAAAGTATTGTTAATTTTTGTGCTTTTCATTCTCTTTATCTCTTCAATACATCTCTCCTTAAACTGAGATTGGCCGTTTATTTCCATAGTGACATTAAGATTTTTCTCCACATTTTCGTTATTCACGTCTAAGTCAGCAATCTGCATTTTAAGCAATTGCTGTTGTAAATTGGAGAAATCGTAGTGACTCACATATCTATCCTTAAGACAGTATAAGTGCAACGCTGTCTCATGGTATTTATTAACAATGTTTACGTTCGAACCGTATTCTATGAGAGTCAGAACGGCTTCATACTGATTGGCGCGCGATGCAAGATGAAGTGCAGTATTTCCAGTTCCATTTATGGCATTGACATCGGCGCCCGAATTCAAAAGAATTTCCATGATACGTATTTGATTAAATTCAGCGGCAAAATGTAACGCTGTGTATCCACATTCATCTTTTTCATTCACGTAAGCTCCTCTTTTGATTAACAACCTGCAAATTTCATCGTGTCCTCTTCGCACAACAAAACGTAGCAGTGTGTCGCCGGTTTTACATTTCCAATTGACATCGGCATCGTGATCTATAAGGATTTGTAGGATATCTTTGTGTCCCTCGATAATGGCTACCCACAGCGGCGTAAATCCATGTATGTTTTCGGCATTCACGTCAGCTCCTTTGTTGATTAACAGCCTGCAAATTTCTTCTACTCCTAGTCGCACAGCAAAATGAAGCGCTGTCTCGCCCTTTTTACTTTTCAAATTTACATTGACATCCTGATCTAGGAGGATTTGTACAATATCTTTGTGTCCCTCCTTAATGGCTTGGAACAGCGCCGTTAATCCATTTATGTCTTGCGTATGCACGTCAGCTCCTCTCTCAATTAGCAACCTGAAAATTTCTTCGTGTCCCACTTGCGCAGCAAAATAAAGCGGAGTCTCGCCCTCTCTAGTTTTCAAGTTGAAATCGGCACCCTGATCTACGAGGAGTTGGACGATATCTTTGTGCCTATGCTGAATGGCTACGTGCAGTGCCGTGTGTTCAATTTGGTCTTTGGCATTTACATCAGCTCCACTCTCGAGTAGTATCCTGCAAATTTCTTCAGGTCCTAGTAGCGCAGCATAATGAAGCGGAGTCTCGCCTGTTCCAATTTTCAAGTTCACATCGGCACCATTTTTTATGAGGATTCGTAACGTTTCTTTGTGATTCAGCAAAATGGCTAGATGCACTGCAGTAAATCCTTGTGCGTTTGAAGTAATGTCTCCGTCAATGAGCATTTTAAAAAATTCCATGTCGCAATTTATCACAGCAATGTCGGGCGGTACGTTCGTAGTCTTTCGAGTGAGACTGTTGATTACGCTAATAA